AGATTAACGTGGCCTTAAATAGTGGCGATCGAAATTAATTTTTAAACGGAAACACAAGCAAGCGATACAATCACGTTTCTCAAATGCGACAGCGACACAATAAACTCTATATAAAGCCTAAGGTGACATCATAAAGTTTTATACTTATTATAATATTTTAAAATTGGCTCGCAAATATTCGATAAATGTAGCATGAAAGTAAATCAGAAATCAGAAAGTGGCATTTTGGGTGCCCAGTTCGTCTAAATTTCCCCTTTGAATACACCCCTGGATTTCCGCAACATTGTTTATTTTTGCCCCTTGAAATGTTTCCAAGTCTGCTTACAACCTTGTGTTAAACCAGTTCCTTGTAAAAAAATAATCAACAACAGCGGCTTTGAATTATGTGACATTTGTCCACATAATCAAGGGACATTGCAACATGCGTACCCCCACCTCCTCAGGGATGCCAACCTAAAGAAATTGGAATGCGGGAGACTGCCAATTTTGCTTCGAAATCAACTCTTCACGACCACAAAAATGGGGTAAGAACCGCAAAAATGCGTCAGATATTTCAATTTTTTTCGCTAAAATTGGTCAAAATGAGCGTGAAAACATGTATTGTGAGTATTTTCCCAGATATCCAGGAGATTTGGTCATCTGTAAGACTAGGAGATTCGGTCTGTATCCGGGAGACTACTGGATAATCCAGGGGAGCTGGCATGGATGCCTCCCCCTTGGGAGACATTATAATCGCCAGTAACAAGATGGCTTGAAATTCAAAGGTTTGTATGGAAATTCAAGCTAACTGACTCTTTCTAAAAATATATATTTGCAAGTTTTGTTTTAGAAAAACTTTTTTTATAAGTCAAAGATGTGACACTCAAAATCTGGATTGTATAGAAGTCTTTATATTTCTCTAAATTTTTTGCAAAATCCCATATATTCTCTTTAAATTGGTTCTACAAAAAATACAGGGAATGTATTGGAAAACATGTTTATAAGTAAATGTCAAATAATGGCCACAGTGTTTTAAAGTTCATTATTAATAGCATATTTGGAGTCTTGTAACTTTTTTTTTTTTAAAGGAGGGAGTCTTAAATGCTTCAATCTAAAAAGGATTATAATTTAGCTTTGGATTTCCATGCAAACCTTTGAATTTCCCACCATCTTTCCCTGCCTGGTTATCCAATGTTGCAACTTATGTTATGAACTCCTCTATTCATTATTGATGGTTATCATTGTTCTTAATTACTCTCCTGCATCCTTTTCCTTGAATGAAGAAATGCCTGTCTTGTTCTCAGCTGTCTGTTCTGTTCATTCACAATATTAATACTACCGTGCAGTATTCTCACTAGTATCCCAATACTATTGCAAAGGTATAACAACTATAATTTTCATCCCAATATTCAAAATGCCTACCTTGTAAGTTTTATTTAGCAGATATAACTGCTGCAATCAAATTAGCCACAGTGGTCAAAATGTTTTGCCCGTAATATTTTATTCATTGATTATATTCAATCTATGTATACTACTACAGTCGACTACAAATAACTCGAACTTTCAGGGGAAATTAAAAGAGTTTGATTTACAGGAAGTTGAGAACAAAGGACGTCACGCACAAAATTATTGACTCTCAAGAAGAAGGAAGGCAAAGCTTGAAGAAATCTGAATGACGCTGAACTGCACCGTCATGTTAAAAAGCTGAACAACAATAGACTGCTTTAAAATAAGTTGAAAGTTTCAGACTCCAGTACCATATTTTTTACTTAACACAACTTGACAAAGGTGGTTAGAGTTATTGAGGGTAAAATTGTATCAAAAACTGACCTGAAGGAAAATTAATATTGCTTCGAGTTAGTGGGAGGCTCAAGTTATTGAGGGTTTGAGTTACCGAGGTAACGACGAGGGGCTAACGCTCGAAACGCCAGCTTTTGTAATCATTACGGTGGCCAATTTACCATTTCAACTTTGTTGATATATCCAAATTATATCTTCCACAATAGGTGTCCTTGGACGTGTCAAGCCTCTAATTTTCGAATCTACTGCTATACTAGTTTACAACACCTTGATCCAACCTCACTTTGAGTGCAGGAGCTTCGTTTGGGACGAGCAGCTGGAGCAATTTATAGGCCGATTGGTATACTAGCTCAAACCTGCTTCTCGAAAAACTTAAATGGAACAGACTAGAAATAAGGAGAAAGAAACAAAAAGCAATAATGAGGTTTAAATCCCTAGACAAGGTAGCTCCAATGTATTTGCGGGACATGTTCAACGAGCGAGGCAGAGCCTAAGATTTGCGTAACTCTTTTTGTAAACTGACATTGCCAAGGCCGCGTACTAATTTCTGAAAGCGTAGTCTTAGTTACAGCCGGGTACCTTTTTGTGGAACTCATCACCTGAGAATGTCAGAGAAATCCGATCAATAGGTGAATTTAAAAAGTGAATTCATTGTGTATTTGCGTCATTAGATTCTCACTCGGCAATCTGATAAAACAGTATTTTGATGGTTTTTATCCAATTTAATATTGTTTATATTTCGATAGCTATTGTTTTTACTTAAGATTTTTACCGAGTTTAAATAAATAAAGATACTGCTAAGAGACGAAATATCGCTAGAATGCATATCACAATAACTCAACCCTGGCTCAACGATAAATCGCTGAAGAGATATTTCACCGAAGCGATAATAG